GACTCTTCTCATGTGCGCCTTTGCCGACTTTACGGCTGCCTCCCATAATCCTCCGACCTGCGGAGAGTATGGCGGAATAAACTTCCACTCGATAAATTGTTCCGTCAAGTAATCGTGTATCTGTTTTTGAGTGCTCTCCTTAAGAAGACATTCTTTTAAATCTGCTAGCTGATTATTTGCTCCGACGAATGTTGTGCCGTTGTCCGAATACAATGTGGCACATCTTCCCCTTCGAGAGATGAAACGCTTTAGCGCATTGAGAAAAGCCGCGGCAGTTAGGTCTGATACTAGTTCGAAATGAACAGCCTTAGTGGCTAGACATATAAAAATCGCTAAGTATGCCTTACCCGTCTTGTTTCTCGATATTTTTATATTGAAGGGACCTGCATAATCGATGCCGGTGTTATAAAATGCTCTAGCTTGCGTTATCCTTACTGCTGGCAGATTTCCCATTAGTTGGGTTACATTGGTGGGCTTGACGCGAAAACAGACAATACAGTTTCTCAATATTTTCCGCACTTCGCTCTTACCGGCTGTTGGCCAAAATTCGTTACGCAATATCGCTAAGACTGCCTGTGGGCCAGCATGCAAGTTTCTATAATGCACGTCTCTTATTATTAAGTCGGTAAGATGATTCTTTTGTGGCAGCACAATAGGATGCTTCTGCGTGTATTCTAATGGTGCATGATGGAGCCTTCCCCCCACACGAATGACGCCGTTGGAATCAAGAAATGGATGCAAAGTCGAAAGCCTACTTTTCGCATCTGTCTTCGCTCCCTTGACTAAGCTATCCAATTCTTTTGAGAATTCGTTTGTCTGAGAGATTTTTATTACTGTTGTCATGGCCTGTTCTAACTCTAATACTGTTAACGGGCCGCTAACGCGATTCGCCGGTTTCAACGAGTTACTTTTAAACCGGAAGCAATAAGCTATTACGCGTTTTAACCTGGTAAGTGACGAGAACTTCTGAATGATGGATGGGTTAACTCTGTTCGTTGATGTAAGTACCACCGCTTTTACATTACGCCTTTCCGGTATGTGAGATTTATTGCTTCTGCAATCATATGCCTGCAATGTTGACTCACGTTGCAAGAATTCTGGGCCTTCCCACCAAATCTTCTTTGATTGCAACTTATCAGGGCTGAGTCCTCTTGACAATGGGTCAGCAGGATTATCTTCCGAGTTTATGTGATACCATGATGCTTTATCGGTGATTCGATGTATCTCCGCCACTCTATTAGCCACGAATGTATTCCATTTGTTGGGCTCTCCACCGATCCATGACAACGTTATAGTAGAATCGCTCCAATAGTAGATCTGATGCACCATAATGCTTAACGCATGCATAGCCTTTTCAGTGAGGCGTGCCAGCAAGACTGCTCCACATAATTCCAATCTGGGCAATGATACCTTTTTTAATGGAGCTATACGTGATTTTAGATCGGAAGAGCACACG